AAGAACCGCCGAAAAAACGAAGTACCGGGAACCGCCAAAAGAGAACCGCCATATTGCAGTACCGCCGAAAAAATACCGCCGTACTCCAGTACCGGCAAAACGGTACCACCATACTACAGTCTTGCCCTCTAGAGTAGCATAGGGCACTGTCTTCGACGCCATTTCGCGCAGATCAGTGGTTCGAGTCCAACTGGCGTGCGTCTTTGTTCACGTTTTTTCTTTTTTCTTTTTCTCTTTCGTCATTCACATATATATATATATTTTTGGTTCTGCCTTGTTCCTTTTCGGCGGAACCTCTTTCATCTGTCGCCGATCGTCAGCTGTTCGAACACACCCATCACACACGCAGCACTTGCCCCAGCGCCCAGCAGAGCAATGAGCGCGTTAGAGGGGAATCCCGGTGCTACTAGTAGTGTAGGAGATGGGTCTGCTGCTTTGTCGGTGGCGCGTGCTGCCGGTGATTCTGTGGACGGGAGCGATTCTGTGGATGTGGAATCGGTGGCTACGAGGGAACCAGAGCTGCAATCCTCAAGCGAGTCTCGCACCATGGTAAATGCGGGCCGCGGCCAGTCAATTTCGGTCACACTCATGGAGCCTCAGTATGGCAAAAGGAGGTTGACAGCTTGGTGTTGGCAGGTTATGAGTAGGTTCACCCCGTCCATCAACGACAAGAACGTGGTGTGTTTGGTGAAGAAGAAGGATGGGACAACCTGCAACCACCTCATGAAGTGGACTCCATCAGAAGGCAAGCAGCGAGGGTCGGGAACAACTGGCTTGACCAAGCACATCGAGAAATTTCATCCCACTACGGCCCAGAAAATAAAGGAGGAAGAAGGCACGCAGGCGGAAAGGAAAGAGTCTATTCAAGCGGCGATCGGTGAGTAGTAGTTCGTCATGATTTTTTTTTTTTTGTGGTGCTGCTGCTACACTGCTGCTGCTGTAGACTTGACCCCCCCTTTTTTCTTTTCTTTTTCCTAATATAACACAACGAGTCCATCTCTTTTTTTTTTTTTCTTCCTAATACAACATCGCTTTAAACCAGGTTCCTCTCCGTGAGCCCCCCCACCCAACCCTCCTGCGGTGCTTGCCACCGATTTTTTACGCGAGCAGATTGCAGCAGCACTCTCTCCCCTCAATGTGTGCCCAACCCCAACAATATAAACAAAATACAAAAAACAAAAAACATGAAGGCCGCGGGTGGGTGTGCTTTACCACTTGTCTGCAATATACAGTACTCCGTATTCATTTTCGTGACACGAACCAGGTGCACACAATTTTTCTTTGTTCTTTTTCAGCGGAAAAGGGTTTCAGGATGCTCTTTGTCTATTTTTCTTAATATTGTGGTTTGGTTTGTGACAGAATCTACCACGTGTCTACAGTTTTCAAGTTTCAACAGTTCATGGAAGGTACGACGTATTATGTATTATGTACGTCGTCTTTTAATTAAACACTTTTAGTGCAAACGTGTTTTTTGTTTTTTGGTATTGTGGTCTGTTGTTCCTTGCATGCTCTCGAACATGACAGACAACGCTACGACAACACAAGACGTAATGGCCCTCAACGGCTTCCTCTTGCCTTGTTTATGTTTTTTTGTTTTTTTCTTGTACTCTAGTCACAGCGGGGGATTCATCAGCAGGTTCATCAACAGCTTTACCATCAGCAAGCGCATCGAGCTCATCGTCGCTGGTGAACTACATGGTGCCGAAGTTGGACAAGAAACGGAGGGAGATGGCTGACCTCCGTTTCGTGATCTGGTGCTGCATCAACCTAAGGCCGCAGCAGATGCGGCACGACGATGGCTTCAAGCTCTTCCTGGGCGCTCTATCCCCCGACTACGTGGAGAGCACAATGTCCAACGACACCTTCGACAAGAACTTGGACACTCTATACAGCAGGGTAAAGACAAGCATCGTGGACGACTTGCGGACGTTACGGGAGGAGTGTCTGGGCATGGGGTATTCGGGAGCTTTCCTTGGTGCCCAGCTGGATCTCACGACAGTGGCCGGCGAGGAGTACATCACCTTCACCGTGTCGTACGTGGAGAAGGGTAGCACGGATGTTACCCGAGTCGCCCTTGCGTGTCGAGCGTTTCCCGGCACCCACACTGCCGACGACATCAGTCCCTGGATCGAGGAGGTGAGGCGCTTTCTTTCTTCATTGTATTCAACGTGCTGTTCAGGATGATGGCATTTTTTGGGTCGGTTGTTTGTGCGTATCTGTATTGTAGGTGTTGTTCTTCCAACTAATCTGTTGAAATGTTGACATTAGAAAATAGAAATGAACAAAAAAATAAACGAATGTTATACACCGCTGGAGGGGACCGTCGCCATTATGAAGGGGGCGAAAATACACACACAACACCGCTGAAAATACAGATGACCTGGTTTTCTTATTTTGATAGTGTTGTAGCTCTTTAACCTTGTCTCATGACTCTCATATTTCATATTTCGCAGCTCACGCGAGAGTACTTTGCGGACTTCATGGGGGAGGACGTGGAGCCGAAGGACGTGTTCCTCGCTTTTACGGTGGATCAAGGGGGGAACGTTGTCAACGCTTGTAAAGCGTTGGGCGTCCCGGTCGTCAAGTGCAACTGTCACCGCGTCAACACGGCAGTCTTGTGGGCTTTGGGAATTGCGGGGAATGGGCGTAGGAACAAGGTGATGGGCGACCTGATGAAGAAGCTGGCAGCGTTGGTCGGCGTCTTCAGCCACTCCGCCGTCAACAACGACAAGCTGAAGGAACTCCAGAGACTGGAGGAGGATCTCCACGCTGTGTACCAGCTCATCAGGCGAAATGACACGAGGTGATTGTGTGTAGTTTGATAAAAAATAAAATTTAGCAGAAAATTTACCTGTACATTGTTTAGCTAGAGGTTTGTCAACGTTCAACTACTCGGTTTACAATATTAATGTTGAATATTGAGGATTTGATTTCAATCTCTCACGCTCGTTAGTATTGTCTATGGCGCTCGTGTGCAATCGCAGTGTTCCAAATGTTGGTCTTGTTCTGTACTTTATGTATTGGTCGCGCATGGTGGCCGTTTGTCCTCGTCCAAGTACCATTTAACAAGGAGTATGTAGGAATAAAAAAGGAGACCACAACAACATCAACTCCGAAGTCGACACCTCCACCCTCTGTCCCACCAGCCCGCACCCTCCTCTGTCCCACGACGTCCCCTGTTGCGAAAAACGCCTCGATGATAAGGTGGACCAGCCAGTTCAAGATGATGGATCGCCTTCTAGCCTTGAAGAAGCCTATCACCGAGTACTTCCGAGAGCAACCCCACAACTCGCGAAAGCTGACACAACCTGAGTGGACCATCACCAACGAGGTGTGCAGCCTCCTGAGCGACGTCTCCGAGGTCACGATTCGGATGCAAGGGGCCAAGGACACCCACATCAGCCAGGCGATGTTCATCATTCATGAGGTGATGGAGATGCTGAGGGAGGACAGCCACCCGATCCGGGCGCAGAACGCCACCGAACCGGAAGAGATGCAGGTGCTGGAGCTTTCCTCGGCGGCGCAGGGGGTGTTAGAGGTGCTGCTGGACGTGATGGAAGAGAAGCAGGTGGGGAAGGCTGTGCAGCAGGTGGAGCGGCTGTCCGCGTTGATGGACCCAAGGCGGAAGTCGCTTGACGGCGCAAAACTCGAAAATGGTTCTGCGACTCTCAGGAAGAAGGCTGAAGAGGACTTGAAGGCGGTCATCGCCCAGTTCGACGTGCAGCCGTCCGAGCCTGCACCGGCGCCAGCGCCAGTGCTCAACGTGGACCCGGTGGAACCCGCATCCAAGAGGAAGAAGCTTTCGAGATTGGAGGAACGGCGCGCGGCACGTGTGGCGGCAGCCAGCGATGGTGGTGCGAGCGGTTCGGTCCAGGCTCAGGGTTCCGCCACGAACCGGCGCGTGCTGATCGAGCGAGAGGTATTGGTGTACTTGGCGGAGACGGAACAGGTGGAGGTGGATGACTTCAACGTCCTGGGGTTTTGGAATCGGCGGGGCACTGACAGCGTATGCTCGACGACTGGCAACGTCACATCCCCGGCAGAAATGCCCTACCTAGCGTTCATCGCTCGGTTGTTCCTCGGGATCGAGGCGAGCAGCTGTCAGGCCGAGCGGAACTTCTCGGCGCTCAGCCACCTGATCGGCCACCTGCGCTGCAACATGCTCTCACGGAAGGTTGAGCGCATGATGTTGATTCGGCTCAACAGGCACTTGGTGGACGAGGTCCGCGAATTGGACGCTGCTGTTTCCCTGGCACGAGCTAAGGCAGCCAAAAGCGCACAGAAATCAGTGGCCTGTCAAGAGGAGAGGGCGAACAAGTCGATTGACCTTAGCTTGTAGACGAGGGTACCCAAGTGCACTGTAGTCTGGGTTAGACTATGCAGGGTGAGAATTGATTGATCTTAGCGTTTTAGATGCTATCACGAATTGCCATGTGAAGTGTTGACTTCAATCTGTTGTCGTTCTACAACAAGTTATGCTTCTGTTTCCCGTGGCATTCGACGGATCGCGTTTTGGCGCACTCTTCTCTTTTTGCATTTTCTTTCTTCTTTAGGTTGCCTTTCGTTTGTCCATGAACAGCTCGATTTGACCATGGGTATGCATCGCATCGTGAAATCACGAAATCATATGGGAGATGCAGGCTCTCAAGCGTACATACAAGAGACAAAAAGCGACCCATCCTGAAAGAGAGGAAAGAGGTTCGCCGGTTGATGGGGCGCCAAGGGCACCGAAATGTAGTTTGGCATCGCCATATTTTATATTTTATATTTTATATTTTGATATTCTGGTCTACTCGCAACCCTCGAAGGCGGTGCCGCCATATTTCAGTACCGCCACCAAAAAACCGCAATATTTGGCAGTACCGGGAACCGCCGGAGACGGTACCGCCATATTTCAGTACCGCCAGAAAAATACCGCCGAAAAAACGAAGTACCGGGAACCGCCAAAAAAATACCGCCACTTACTTTGCAGTACCGCCAAAAAAGTACCGCCACATTCGGGTGGTACCGGGAACCGCCAAAGGCGGTACCGCCGGAAAACGAAATACCGCCAACCGCCAAAAAAATACCGCCACTTTGCAGTACCGCCCCGCCTGGATCCGCCTAAAAAACTAGTACCGAGGTGTACCCTGTTTTTTTCAACCAAAAAAAACTCTTCCACCACCCGATCTAGTACTAAGTATTGACTTGCGGACCCCTCGGGGCCAGTTTTTGTTAGAGTACCTTCTTAGGGTAAGTTAGCCTGTGACCACGGGAATTGACGGCTTCAAGTGTTGGATCAGTGCAGACATGTGAAGGTACTGGGTGGTGAGAGAGGTCGGAACGACTTTTAGTGTGTGAAGACAAGAACAACTCACGCCCTGCTGCTGTTACTGCATGTTCTGCTTTATAGCATACTGAGTTCAAGTATTTCTCTGTACCTGCCCTCTCACGTCCTATTGCTGCTGCTGCTGCTGCTGGAGCAATAGCCGCGGGTTGTACCCTGCAGCAGTGGCGGCGGCGGATAGACTACGTTACGCTGCGTCTACGCTACAGCACTGGGCCCTTTTTATGTACAGTTGTGCTGGTTGCGACAATATATCTCGGCAAACCGCTCGGAGGAACACCAGGGCAGTTGACAAAAACGTACTACTTTGGATGTATATCATTTGAAAACTTTCCGTGCTCTACTGATGATGTTGTTTGCCAACACCAAAACACGACAAGAAACAAGCTATTATACTTCGCATGATACAAACTGAATGCTATGCCCTACCTACCATGCACCAGGTGTACCATTCTCATCTAAGCATCACTGATACGTTACCCCAAAGGATCAAATAGTTTTCTTTTTTTTTCAAAAAACAGCGGGGCAATCAACTGCCCGCCTTACGCTCACGTTATAAATTCATTGCTTATCTATCTAAGATTTATTTCTATCGATAGAGATGGATTTGTTGTGTGACATGTAGGAAAAAAAAAACTGTGCATTAAATACTCTGTAGATTTGAATAACGAGTAATATAGTCTACCGCTGTCGCCTTCCTTCCATGATTTTTACAACAAACTTTTTCTTTAAATCTAACAAACCAGCAAGCTGTCAATAGACACTGCGCCGTGTCCCCTGTGAAGGTTGCATTATACAACACACGACATAACGGAGGGATTCTCCCCGATATTTTGTCGTTGACTCAGTAGAGAACTACAGGGAGGGATGTACTGTAAAGTGTACGTTATGGTCTACAGATATTTTGTACTTAACACCAACGTAATCACTGATATAAATTATCAGGGTATAGACATGAAGAGTCTCGCAATAAGTCCAGCACCCATCCGGTTTTCCTACACTCGCTGGAAAGAGTCCACCACATCTCGTTCGACTGTGGGTAGACTATATCTCGAATGGGTAGTATTTCTGTGCGTGTATTTATTTTTCCTTAATGCAGACGGGCCCGCGGGTAAGAAAAGTTCAGAAATAAAGGAAACGGGCTAAGGTTGATTCTTTTTCACCTGGATTCATTTCCCAAAAGCCTTACTTTTAAGAATGGGCAGAAATTTGGCTTCATATACAGCCAGATTCTTCCGTTTTTTGGGTCGACAAAATCCGGGTTCACCCACAATAATTGTGGGTGGTTTCCATACCCTCTTTCTTACCCTCGCTGCCTCGGCAAGGTTTTACGTAGGCATGACCCATCGAATCGTGGCGCAATGACAAACATCTCTTTCTTGTGTTGTCAATTATTTTCCGTTTTTTTCTTGAATGTAGGTGCTGGGTGTAGGTGATACCGTCACTGGTTTTGTAGAGAGACGCGGCAGAGATGGCGCGGATAAGCCGGGTGCTTAATTGTGTACCTGCATCGTGGAAGACCCCTTCAATGTGGAACGATTCCTAGTCAGTGTCGATGTTTTCACTGCTGTGCCAAACACAGATGATCTGGATAGATTCGGGTGATTGACAATTGCAATGATGGCTTTGGTTGGGTGTCCTTCATTGTGTGTCCACGGACTCATTCTGGCAGCACTTCAGACAGCAGCTGCATGCCCCGAGCTTGTGTGCCATGCGCCATGGTGTTATTATTGTACAGAAAGCACTTCAGACAGCAGCTGCATGCCCCGAGCTTGTGTGCCATGCGCCATGGTGTTATTATTGTACAGAAAGCACTTCAGACAGCAGCTGCATGCCCCGAGCTTGTGTGCCATGCGCCATGGTGTTATTATTGTACAGAAAGCACTTCAGACAGCAGCTGCATGCCCCGAGCTTGTGTGCCATGCGCCATGGTGTTATTATTGTACAGAAAGCACTTCAGACAGCAGTACGCTGTAGTGGACATTCATTTTGGTTATATGCGGGACAAAGGGGGGTAATACTGCTGCTGAAGTTGAATTGTATTTTTTTTTTTTTCTCCCATCATTGAACTCTGTCTTCTGCCGCTCTGGCCCCTATCCTCCACTTCTACTAGCTAGACGACCCAACCGGGGTCACATAGGAGGGGGGGGCTGGACCCCCTCCTGCGGTTCCTGCCTGAGGTATTTTTATCGCGAGAAGGGTGCAGCAATCCCTTCCCTCACGACTCACGAAGTCGATTATGGTTTACTAACAACGAGCTTTGCAGCGCGTCGCTTTCATCCTAGGTCAGGATTTATTTAGAGAGAAAGAAACTCACTCTGCCGGGACTCGAACCCATGACCTGGCACTCAGCAGGCTGCGAGATTACCCACTACACCACCGGGGCGCCCACACGCGTATAGTTCAGTTGCGAGCATGCAAACGTGCTGCAGGGATTATTGCAGGTGTACCTCCTCGGGCTTGAGTACCCTTTTCTTGCTAATAGTGTGTGTGTTCTTTAGATCTTCTGATGGCTCTGGCATTTTTGTGACCACGGACCGAGTCTATGCTAGATTTTGGGATGAGCAACTGACACGAGTTTTATGTGATGAAAAACAACAACAACAACAAAAACAACAACAACAACCAGAAAAGTTTGGGAGAAATCAGGATGCCCACCCACATTTCTCATCCCAAGTTCACCGCTGGGTGAACCCAGACGACATCATCATCGAGTGTGACCTGAGTTCTTGACGTATCGCTCCCATCAAGGCTCCCAGCAACCCTACGCTTAAGGGCTTGCCATTTTGCGCGCTGGCTGTTGATGGTCGCTCGGCACGCGTGCGTAAAAAAACCGTATCGCATCGCACCAAGCGTTGTTGTTGTTGTTGTTGTTGTTGTTGTTGTTGTTGTTGTTGTTGTTGTTGTTGTTGTTGTTGTTGTTGTTGTTGTTGTTGTTGTTGTCTTC